GCCTCGACCACCCGGAGCTGACCCTGCGCCTCCCCTCGGCCAGCGCGGCCTGTGTCCCTCTACACAACCCCAGACCTGCCCACCAGCTGCCCCACCGTCCCGCTGTCCACCCACAGCCTTCCCGGACCAGCTGAGCGTGTCCCCCGCAGCCCTAGTCACAGGGCGGGACCAGGAGTTGGCCTGCACCGCCCACAACGTCACACCTGCGGACCCCAGCCTCCTATTCTTCTCCTTGCTCCTGGGAGAACAGGAGCTGGAGGGAGCCCAGGCTGCGGGCTGGGACGTGGAGGCCCAGGGGGAGGAAGACCCCCTGTTCCACGTGACCGAGCGCTGGCTGCTACCGCCCCTAGGGACGCCCGCCCCGCCCCACCTACACTGCAGGGCCACAATGCAACTGCCCGGCCTGGAGCTGAGCTGGCAACGGGCAGTCCCAGGTGAGTCCGGGGCGACTGGGAAGGGGCACACGACGTGGGAGATGGTGGAGGGGGGGTCAGATTCCTCACGAAACCTGACTGGGCCCCAAACATCTACTGGATCACCTTGGACCACGTGTGTGTTGGGAACAGGATTGTCAGTGCGCCCCCTCCCTGAGCTGGTTATAGGACCTCTGGAGGTGTGCACTTAGGGAGACCCTAACCCCATCTTCAATCTCTGCTAAGGAAGCCAGACCCATCACGTCCTCTATCCACCCATCCACCCAACCATTCATTCATTCATTCATTCATTCATTCATCCGTTCACCCAAGAAGCATTTCAGAGACCTACAGTGTCGGGAAGGGTTCTGGGGGTGTTGTGCTTAAGCGTTCAGCAGTTTGAAACCACCAGCCACTCCGAGGGACAAAGACGGGGCTTTCTGCATCCAGGTAAAAGTGACAGTCTCAGAAACCCCCAGGGGCAGTTCTACCCTGTCCTGTAGGGTCCTGGAATGCAGGGAGTACAGAGCATGCAATGCCCCCAGGGAGCCCTGCAGGCTCCATTGGGTTAACCTTAAGATCGACAGTTCAAATCCAGCAGAAGCTCAGGGGGAGAAAGATGAGGCTGTGTGCTCCGATAAAGACTGACAGCCTCTGAGAACCTATAGTGAGTCAAGTCGCAGTGGAAGTGGTTTGGGCACAAATTCCCAGGCCCCCAGGTCCTGCGCGGCCGGCACTCCCAGTTTGTCCTACCCGCGGCGGCCAGAGGATGCCCGTGAGCAACGAGTCCGCCTGTCCTAGTGCTGCCTGCCCCCCGGGGCTCCCCGCGCCCCTCCTGGCCATGGCAGCCCCCCAGGGACACACAATAAATCACACACGCCCCAGGCCTCCTGGCGCTCACAGCAAGAGCCCGATGAACACCTGTCCAGTTAGGGGAGCAGTGGGACACGACCAGTCCACCTGGACTCTGAGTGGGGCCGGGGGTGAGGGGGTGGGGGCGGGCACCCATGATGCCAACAGGTCACTCAGAACACAGTAGTCCCATGACCCCTGTGCGAGAATCAGGAATGAGGGGCAGGGTGATGCCCAGCAGAGGGGCAGCTGGGACTGAGCCGGATCCTCTTCTGTACCCAGAGCCCCTCCTGTCTCCCTGCCCCCTTGCACCCGCTTAGAAGTGACAGCCAGCCCCGCCCCGTGCACCCCTCAACCGGCCACGGATGAATCGGGCCCATTTTCCAGATGAGGAAACCAAGGCCCAGAAAGATACAAGGCTCCCCACTCTGAGCGAGCAGAGGCCTGCGGGGAGGTCCCCGCCCCTGACCACTGGGGCACTTGCCTGGTGACTCACCCAGGGGGCTTGGGGAGGGCTTGCAGGAGCTCGTCCAAATGGAGAGACTGAGGCGGGAGAGCGTTCCGGTGAGACAGGCCAAACTGTTTTCCAGTTCTGCACAGCCTGCCTGCTTCTGAGGACCCGACATCAACCACACTGGAGCTCCCCAAATCAACCTCGCCAGAGCCCCCCACCTCCACCTCTGCCTCTCTGAGGCCCCCATCAACCTCGCCAGAGCCCCCCACTTCCACCTCTGCCTCTCTGAGGCTCCCATCAACCTCGCTAGAGCCCCTGACCTCCATCTCTCTGAGGCCCCTATCAACCTCGCCAGAGCCCCCCACCTCCATCTATCTGGGGCCCCCATTAACCTCACCAGAGCCCCCCACCTTCCCCTCTCTGAGGCCCCTCACATCAACCACATCAGAGCCCCCCACCCACCGCCCCTGCCGCCCTGAGATCCTCCAGCCCCCTGTACTGGCCGAGAGAGAGGCCCCTTGGGAGCTGTTATGCTCAGTGGATTGCGGCCCCGAGGGGGTGGCTGTGCACTGGACTCGGGCCCCTGGAGGTGTGGAAGCCTACGAGCAGAAGGGAGCAGGGGCGCAGAGGTGGTTGAAGACGAAGCAGGTTGGCTGTGACCCCCAGGGCCTGTTCCAGTGCCAAGTGGACCCAGGGGACAGTGTGGCCAGCCTGTATGTGGTCCCCAAAAACTGTGAGTCCAGGGTCTGGGGAGGAGGGTGGGCCCTGGGATGGGGGTGTGGGGACTTGGATGGTGACCTTAGACAAGAAAAGCCCTGGCCAGCCTCAGTCTCCCCAGCCATCCAGTGGGCCTCCCAGTGTGGTACGGGGCCAGCGGCCTGAGTGTGGCCACAGTGACTGCCACCCATCTTGGCACCCCCAGGCCCTGGTACCTTTCAAAACATTTCACATGTCCTGGCGACATCCTGGGACATGCCTGGGGCTGCTTGCCACAAGGTCAACAGTTTGAACCCACAGCCACTCCAAGCGGGAAAGAGGAGGCTGTCTGCCCCACAAGGACTTACAGAAACCCACAGGGGCAGTTCTGCCCTGTCGTATGGGGCTGAGTTTTGGGGGGACTCTCAGTCTCACCACCTAGAACAGGCTGTGGAATACAAGCTCCGCATGTTCTACATCACCACGGCCGAAGTGCACCGTGTGAGACCTCGTGTCCACTGCACAGCCACTTTTGCAGGGACATCGCAGAGGGTCCCCCCAGCTGTTTGCACAGCATGTCCCTGGTGGGGTCTGCATTGCTGTCCAAGTGCTGAAAGTCCTCCAGGGACAGCTCTGTCGTCCGGGACGGCCTGGCTGTAAACTAGAGGCGCCCATGCAGACTTCAAAAGCCACGGGAGAGCCTTTTGAGTGTCCCGGGAGCTCTGACAACCTCGGGGACCCGTGAAGCGGCACACGAGTCCTGGTGGCATCGCAGGTTAGGCATGAGACTGCCAACCACAAGGATGGTAGTTCAAAACCACCAGGTGCTCCAATGGAGAACAAGGAGCCTGTCTGTTCTCATAAGGTGTGCGGTCAGTCCCAGGAAGGCGAGGGAGCCCTTCTGGGAGCCCTGGTGGGGTAATGGTTCCGCGTGGGGCTGCCAACAGCCACCTGGGCAGTTCAAAATCGCCAGCTGCTCCTCAGGAGAAAGATGAGGCTTTCTACTTCCGTGAAGAGTTATACTACACACAATATATTCAAGTCAATGCCAACTCCTATCTAGGGTAGAACTGCCCCTGTTTCACAGGCTGTCACTCATTCTGGGAGCAGAAACGTCCCATCTTTCTCTCCCAAACCCACGGGGATTATTCCATCCTGCCTACACAGGGGCACCAGGAGTCAGAACAGGCGTGAGGACGGGGGGCATACTTTCTGGCCTCTGGCCTCAGTCTGCAAGGTCCCTGAGCCTCTCCTCCTGCCCCCACCCAACCCCAGCACCCTGCCCTGTGGCTGTGCAGCCGTCAGTAGCCCTGTGGACCGGGAGCTTCGTGCTGGCCCTGCTCGTCCTGGCGTTCCTAGGCCACCGTCTTCGAAGATGCTGCCAGTCCCTGGACAGAGCACCACGCACACCAATGTCTTTGTGCCTGTGAGACGCGGTTGGACCCTTCCCTGGCTTGGTTGTGACCACGGAACATTTGCATGGCCCTGTGCCCTGATGGCCAAAGGCTAATATACACACACACACCCAGCAAGGCCCTGGAGCGCCCATTCCAACAGTTCAGAGCTGGGGAATAAAGGGCATTTGGGATGAGCATCCGTGGTCTCTGTGGTGGTCTGAGGCTTCTGGCTGTCTTCAGGCAGCTAGGAATGCGGGCCAGTGCACAGAGAGAGACACCGGCTCACACTGGCTCCCTCAGCCAGGGCTGGAGGAGAGGGAGTCGTCAGAACACATCGCTGTGTTTCTCTAGGTGTTGAGCAGACACTCCAAGAACTAGAGGTTCTGCTAAAGAAATGTGGATGGGCACTTTGGGGGCCCTGGGGGCACGTGCAGAGGAAGGGGGCTAAGGTGGAGACAAGTCGGTAGAGGGAGGGCACTGGGGAAGCTATGTTAGAATTCAGAGCTGTAAAAAATCTCTCTGGCGCCCAGAGGAAGGAGCTGGGGGCCAGGAGGTTCATCCTACTTTCCAATGGGGGGTGGGGGGAGAAGTCTTAATTGGGGACGGGGCGGAGGGGCGCTCCCAGTCCAGAAAAAGAAGCCAACTTCAAAACCACTACTAATGCAGGAGCCCAGAACCACTGTGCCACCCAAACTGGGGATCAGGGAAGCGTCCCCGCCCTACCCCCAAAGGTAGGCTGTACATTCAGGTTGGGGGGAAAGGGACATGTCCCGTGGAGCCTGACCTCTGAGGGCTTGCTTAGGCAGTGCGATCAGGCAGCCCCGGGTGGATGCGGCCCCGCCCACGCTGGGCAGGGGACCAGGGCGGTTGGTTGCTAGGAGACCGTGCAGCGGAAGTATTCTACCCATCATCTTGATGGCCAATAAGCCGCCTTCACGTAGCCATCTTGAAACCTGGCAAAGTTTAGACGCCGGACCCAACCATGAGAACAAATCAATGCACACGAAGAAGAAAGCCGCTGGACGGCGCTAGATAAGACTTAGGGCGGAGGGTCGTCTCCCCGTGGGCCTTCTGGACGGTCCCGGGGGGATCCCGGCGGGCTCTGCCCTCAACAAACATGGCGACGAGGGCGCACGACGGCACTTGGCGGTGGTTCCGGTCCCGCTGCCCTCATCGACGATGGCGGCGCTGGAGAAGCGGCGGCCGGCCGTGGCCCCGGGGGCCGGTTTCTCGGATGGCGGCCGGCCAACGGCGTCCCGGGCGGCAGCGGGGGCCGAGAGTGAGGAGGACTTTCTGCGGCAAGTCGGTGTGACGGAGATGCTGCGCGCGGCCCTCCTGAAAGTGCTGGAAGCGCGGCCCGAGGAGCCCATCGCCTTCCTGGCGCGCTACTTCGAGAACCTGGGCCTGCGCTCGCCCGCGAGCGGCGGCGCCGGCGACCCCCCGGGCCAGCTCCTGCTGCAGCAGCAGCGCCTGAGCCGCGCGCTGTGGCACCTTCGCCTGGCTCACCACTCCCAGAGGTTCGGGGCCCGGGCTGGGGCGGGGCGGGACCCGGCCGGACTCCAACTCCCAGCGGGCTCCGCGCGTCTCCCCAGCAGCGGCGCGGGCGCCGGCGCGCGAGTCCTGCTGGGAACTGTAGTCCGTCATGCTCTCAATGCGGAGGAACCCCCCCCATGGAAATGAGGCGTAAAGTCGCCAGCCAGGGGTCAGGCGCGCGCTGTGTGATGCTGACCAGCCTCGCCTCTTTGCAGAAGCTCAGTGAGCCATTGCAGTGCCCCCCACTTTCGAAAGGCATTGCGCTCACCGAGGGGATTTTATACATAGTGCTCCGAGCCAGGTCTTTGTAGCATCCCCCTCCGTTCAAACAAAGAATCTTTTCCAGTCTGGCCTGCGAAGATAGAGCGCATCCCGGCCACCCACGGGCCCCACAGCTATGAGGGTGGTGATGGGGAAGGGTGACCCTAGGCGGCCTCGGTGATTCGCTGGAGCAGACCCCGCGAGAGTGGGGCCCACGGGGGTTTGGCTGAGGCATGGGGGAGGTGAGGCCATGTCTGTTTCCCTTGGTCTGCCCCCTAACCGTCTCCCCAACACCCACACCCACCCCTCCACGTTCTTGTCATTGGAGGAGTTCCGGGAGTGAACGAACGGTGCAAAGTGGGGTCAGCTGGGGAGACGCAAGGAGACACGAATCAACTATGTGATTTAGTGGTTGGCTGGGTGTGGGTGGGCTGGTATTTGGTGGAGGCGGCTCCCCAGGGCCAGAGAAAAAGGGTTTGTGGGAAGGGATTTCAACGTGAGGGGCCCCTAGGGGAAGAGGATGAGGGGGACAAGGGCTCCTTGGCTCACAGCCCCTGAGAATGTAAGTGCCCACCACCAGGAGGGAGGCACAGAGACTCCCTGCAGGGAGAAGGGCCACATGAGCCAAAGAGCATGTACGAGTGGCCCAGCCAGGTCCAGCCCAGGGTTCTGGAGCCTGAGGGGCCCCTGGGCAGACCTGGGCACTGTGGGGCATGGGGAGAAGCCCTGGTCTCTACCTACCACCTCCCCACTGGGAACACCTGTAGCCACAGGGCTAGAGGTTGCATACTATGATCACCTGATGCCCACTGGAAACCCACACCTCAAGTGGGGGGTGGCGAGGAGGGTGACCACATGACTGGAGGGGCCCTGGTTGACACCATCTTCCCTGAGGGAGTTTATTCTGGGGTGTTAAAAGAACCCACCGCTCACCAGTGGCTTCAGGATAGAACTGCCCCTGTGGGTTTGCCAGGTGACCTGTCACTCCCTGGGCTGCTCACCTCAAGGTCGGCAGTTTGAGACTGCCAGTTGCTCCGAGGGAGAAAGAGGAGGCTTTCTACTCCTGTAAAGAGTGACCATCTCAGAAACCCACAGGGCAGCTCCAACCTGTTCTGTAGTCAGCATGGACTGGATTTGAAGGCAGTGGGAGGGAAATCTTCACAGGAGCAGGCTGCCTCATTGCCTTCCCACAGGGCACACTTAACCCTCTGCACTACCAGTACCCCTACGCATCCTGGTATATTATGTGACTCTTGCTTTTCATATTATTAAGAATTTTCCAAGAATTGTTTCTCCTGAGAAATAGTAACACAGCCCCCACCCCCTCACATCCCACCCACACACTGAGGGACGTGGTCCTTCTCAGGCGAGGGGGTGCTGCCCTGGGCACTGAGGGTGAGCAGCCTCCCTGGCCCCCACCCACTGGACTCCAGGTTGTGCCCCTCCCTGCTGTCTTAGCCTCATGTCCCCAGGAGGCAGTGCTGTCCCCAAGTGAGAGGCCCTGCATTAGGCGCTTGGGTCTCCTCCTAAAGAGGGGCCACAAATACTGCCGGTCCAGTTCTTTAACCAGTGGACACTGGTGGACACGGGCCCCAGGGAGGCTGGTCTGCCCCAAGGCAGGGTGGGTGAGACCCAGGTGGGGCCCCTCTGGCCCACCCTCTACCCCCTGCAGCTCTGACAGGGAGGGGTTCTCATTGTCCCCTTGGCATGGCTTCCTGCGGACAAGGCACCAACAGGTGGCACAGGCCCACTCCTACGGCCCCTCTGTTAGCTCTGGCCCTTAGCTTCCCACGCTTCTGCCCATGCAGGGTTCCAGGGTACCTGCTCGAAGCCTCGAGACACAGCCAGGGGAACCTGGGGGTGGCCCGTTCAGAGGTGCTCAGAATAACTCAGGGAACAGTGGGGAGCCTCAGGGAGGAGGAGCTGACTGGGACAGAGCCACAGCTACAGCCACCCACAGCCCGAAACCTCGGGAATGTCCCTGCAGCTCCACTCACGGGGATGCATGTCCAGAGGAGGCCCAGGGACAAGGCCCATCACCATGGAGAGCGGACCCCGTCACTCACACCCACAGACCACACAAGTAGGGGCCTGTCTGGCGGAGAGCAGCAAGGTGGGGGCCCCGCACCCCCATCAAATACAGACAACCCCGTAGTCCACTAGGATGCCACAGAAGCCACAAGACCAGGTTTGTTTGTTTTTCTAAAAAGTCCCTGGGCCTTCTGCCTACCACGAGGTTTGATTGCTGGCTATGTGGAAGGTGGCCCCATGAGGCGTCTGAAGGTAAGGGATGGGAGCCGCCCCAGGAGGCAGCCTGCAGAGGCAGTGATGTCTGGACAGCAGCCTCTTGAGACCCGAAAGCCAACCCCACCCCCGAAGCCCAGCCGCTCTGGGCGCCGGACACACAGATCACCACCCTGCGCCCAGCCACGTTTTCAGGTTCATTGATTCCAACCCACAGGGACACCATACACAACAGAAGGAAACACCGCCCGGCCCTGCTCCATCCTCACATGTGTTCCCAGCACTGCAGCCACTGTGTCCCTCCGTCTCCCCAAGGGTCTTCCGCTCTTACGCTGCCCCTTCACTTTGCCAAGCAGGAAGCCCTTCTCCAGGGACTGGCCTCTCCTGACACGTCCAAAGACTGCCAGGAAGTCTGGAGTCGGGCCTCCAAGGAGCGCTCTAGTGGAACAAGACCAGATTACTCTGTGCTTCCAGCTGGCAGTCAATGGTACTTCCTGTATTTGTCTGGGTAGACTAGAGAAACAAATTCACAGACGCTTAGATGTGTATAAGAAAGAACTTTACATCAAAGATCAATTGTACACTGAGACTGGCCAGCCCAGTCCAGATCAAGTGCCTAAACCCCACATTAGCCCATATGTCCAATACTAGTCTGTAAATTCCTCTTCAGACTCAGGCAACACTTGCAATGATGCCAGATGCAGGAAGATCACAGGCCAGTGGGTGGAAAGTCTCGTGGATCCAGTGGTGGTGGAAGGCTCTCAGCACTGGCGTGGGTCTCCACGTGGCTCCTCCAGTTCCAGGGCTCTGGTTCCATCAGTGTAGCTCCATGTGGCCTGTCAGTAGGAAGATGAATCAGAGAGTGTGGGTCCAGCCTCTAGGGAGCTATTTATTTCCCAAGTACCTCCAAATGAGATCATCAAGCTGCAACTTGATTGAAAAGATAAGTTCCACCCCTTCACTCTTAATAGTCTCACATTGACACCAAATTATGTAGCTACCACACTTCCAGTATTCTTTGCTGACAACATCATCCAAAGGCTGCAGTTCCTCCGGGCTTCCTGATTGGGAGCCCAGCTGTCCCGTAGACCAGTGATAAGGTGCCATTGCGAGCTGTGGCAGCGAGGCCTGGCACCTGCTGTATCTGGCACCACCACTGGCCTTCAGGAGTGACTGCATCATCCCTGAAGCTCTCCTCGTCCAGCAGGTGGTCAGAGCCCAGGGGCGGGGCTTTTCACATAGCAAAAAACAGACACTTCCAGCCAGGGGTCTACCTGGGGCGAAGACCTCCCACCTCAGCCCTCCGTCAGGGCGGACCTTTGATCTGAAGGGCCACACGGCCCTCCATAATCTACCACAAGGAGCAGGGGTGCCAGAGCACTAACCAGGTGTCCCTGGGTTCCTTTGTACCCCTGCACACTGACTACAAGCACTCACCTCCTGCTGGCCCCGGGAGGGTGAAGTGACCAGTTCACAGGTGGGTTGACGCCCCACTGAAGGGGGGCAGCTGGTCTGCTCAGTGAGGGCGCACTGGGGGGGGGTGTCACCAGCTGCTCCTCAGAAGAAACGAGGCCGCCTGCTCCCCTAGAGATGCAGTCCACCCCCCCACGGGCAGCCCACCCTGCCCCACACCTCACAGGCAGGCTGCAAGTGGGACCGTCTGCGTGGCAGGGAATTCACTGTGGGCCTGGCAGACACTACCACGACGTCCTGGGGAGCACTCCCCCTGAACCCCCACATACACTCCGAAAGGAAGAAAGGGGTGGGGCCGGGCAGTCTCATTGGAGGGGCTGGTGGGAGGGCAATGGGGCATGTGTTGGACGCAGAGCCTGAGGGTTCTTGGGGTCCAGCATGCTGAGGAGTGCAGGCTGGGGGTTCCCTGGCCCCAGTGTGTTAGGGGTGCAGGCTGGGCATTCTTGGGGCCCAGTGTGTTGGGGGCATGGGATGGGGGTTCCTGGGCCCTGGTGTGTTAGGGGTGCAGGCTGGGCTTCTTGGGACCCAGTGTGTTGGCATGGGACGGGCGTTTGGAGGGGCTGGTGGGAGGGCAATGGGGCATGTGTTGGACACAGAGCCTGAGGGTTCTTGGGGTCCAGCATGCTGAGGAGTGCAGGCTGGGGGTTCCCTGGCCCCAGTGTGTTAGGGGTGTGGGCTGGGCATTCTTGGGGCCCAGTGTGTTGGGGGCATGGGATGGGCGTTCCTGGTGCCCGGTGTGTTGGGGGTGTGGATGGGCGTTCCTGGTGCCCGGTGTATTGGGGGCATGGGATGGGGGTTCCTGGCCCCAGTGTGTTAGGGGTGCGGGCTGGGCATTCTTGGGACCCAGTGTGTTGGCATGGGACGGGCGTTCCTGGTGCCCGGTGTGTTGGGAGGGGTGGGCTGGGGGTTCTCAGGCCCGGTGTGTTGGGGGCACAGGTTGGAGGCTGACCAGCCCGCCCCGACCCCCCGGCCCCCTCTTGCAGGGCTGCCTTTAACAACAACGTCAGCGTGGCCTACGAGTGCCTGAGCGCCGGCGGGCGCAAGAAGAAGCCGGGCCTGGACGGGCGCACCTACAGCGAGCTGCTGCGGCGCATCTGCCGCGAAGGCGAGGCCCCCGACGCGGCGGTGGCGCCGCTGCTGCGCAAGCTCCAGTGCCGGGACCACGAGGCCGTGCCGCTGGGCGTCTTCCGCGCGGGCATGCGCACCTGCTTCGTGCTGCTCGAGTTCGTGGCGCGCGCCGGCGCCCTGTACCGGCTGCTGGAGGACCCGGCGCTGGCCGCCGCCGACCGCCGCGTGGGCCAGGCCGTGCTGGACACGCTGGAGGGCGCGCTGCAGACGGGCGACGGCGACGAGGCGGCGCCCGCGCGCTACCTGGAGGCCGGCTCCCGCCTCGGGCCCGACAACGTGGCGCTGGCCATGGACCGCGCCGTGGTGGCGCGCCGGCCGTGCGTGCCCATGCACCGCGAGGAGTTCCTGGAGAAAGCCGCCGCCCTGTTCATCGCCAAGGTCAAGCCGGTGGGCTGAAACCCGCGCCCCTGCCCCTGCCTGGACGCCCACCTGCCCGCACCCTGCTTCCCCCCCCCAAAAGAGCCAGAATAAAGCATCCCCCAGCCGAGCTCCCGTGTGCCTACGACCCCTCCCTGACAGCACCCATGTGGCAACTGCTCTCCAGCTCGGGCTTCCGGCCCAAGCGGTGTGTGGCGGGGCCTCAGTTTCCCCAGCTGACCAGAGGAGGTCTGTAGCGCCCTGCTGCCCTCCCCCCAGGGCTCTGGGTTGGAAGAGGTCACACTGCTACAAGACACCAGCCCACCCACAGTCACCCAGCCACAGTGCCAGTCCCTAGTGAGCTAGGCCTCGGTGGAGAGGGCACCCACAGGCCACCAGAGGACACTGGCCCAAGTCACCTGTCAAGCCTGGGCTTGATCCACATGTCCTGTTTGGGCACAGGTCTGTGTGACTCCAGCCAGC